TTAATAAATGTCGGCTTTTGGTTTATCAATTTTGATTTAAACACCACAAATAGATATTTCAAGAACGAATTAAGATTCCATTGTTATTAGATAATTATTTATGTTTAACCTAATGTTGCACCATTACATATTCAGTTGTTGTTTTTGTTTAAAAATTCCTTGCTTTGAATATGCCATTCTGTATACCTTTGTTCATACATGTTGTGCTAGGCTATTTGTTACAATAAAGCAAATTCATTATTAAAAGAAAAACAGATAATCAAAGATAATTAAACAAATATTAGTCAATAAGACAGTGTGAAGGCTATATCATCAATAATTATCTATCACAACAACAACAAAACTGTTTCTAGGATTAAAAAGCAGACAATTATTGAAAAACAAAAAAAAATTATTTCAATAAATAATTTGATAAATAATTTTCTATAAAATGGAAAACAGAATGTCATAAAAAGTAAAGCTACAATGCAGATTGATTAATAATATTGTTATTTTTTCAAAGTCCTTCTCATTCTCATTTTAGTAACATACTAGTTCGTACAAGGATAATTTGCTCTGGGATAAAATTGAACAAACTTTTAAAAATGTACAAAATAAACATTTGTTTTGAAAAATATTTTGAAGCATTGATTATAGACAAATATTTGTAGCCAACTTTACTATATCTTCATCAGAAGGTTTTGATCGAAAATAAAAAGAAATTTTTGTTTTGTTTTAGCTACATCATCACCAATAACCAAAGTATGAATAGTAATCCGATTTTAAACTTTAAATAGACATTTGAGAAGCATATGTACGTGATGGTAAATTGAGGTGGGATTGAATTGGTGATTACAAAAATTCTTTCAAAAGACATCATTGAGTATAAACAATGATGAGTATTTTAAATGTATTTCGAATAAAAAAACATATATATATTACCATCAAAATTTATTTGTGAGACGCGTATATTCTTTTCAACTTTATTGGGTATGATTATGAATAATGACGTTTGAGCAGGCGAAAAATCGTGATGTCTGACCTTTTCAACTAAAATTACTACTGACTATCATTAACAAAAGCATGATACACAGTTACGATTACCAGATCCATCTATGCTGTTGGTTTTATTTTGTAAATACAGAACTATTATATCCTTGTAAGAAATAGAAAACTAGTATAATTTTCTTCACTCGAAGCAATAATACATTTTCAATGAGACTATAGTTGTTAGTTTTTCAGTGACTTCTTACATTCGAATTATATAATCAATAACGATTATTTGTTTAGCATATTTATTGTTTTTAATCATACTTTATCTCAGAGTAAATTTAAAAAAAAAATCAATTAAGAGACCCTTTCTCGAATCCTTTGTTTTCGTTTATATGCGAGTACGATTGGTTTCGTTAATTATTGGTTTGTGGAGAAGGAGATGTAAACATTGCAAAATTTTGTTTCCTCACATTTAAAGTGTGTGTAAACATTTTCATGGCATTGGAATAAACGCTCGGAAGAAAGAGTCAATATGAAGATTTAGGGGTTTTCTTTAAATAGTCATAAGCCGCTAGCGGAATTTGGAATATGATATTCAATAGTCATCATATTGTTATGGCTAATGGATTATATGTATATGGCCTTTTTTAGATCATATCTTACTCATTCCGGTCATTTTCGATTCCTTTAGCCTACGATTTTGATAAGACATTTTCTTGGCTTTTACAGGTTTATATATAAGTGCCAATATGCCTAAGAATCAGGAAGTGGTGACAACATGACAAAAAAAAACGCCCAAGTTTACTTTTACTTATGTTCAAAATGTAAAATGATGCATGATTAGAACAATCGTTTCCTTTTCCTGTTCTGGTATTTCACTTCATAATTTAATTAAAATGCACTAGAAATTAAAAATAAAGAGGAGCTATAATTCTAACCAAAAGTAATCTAGAGATTTCTCTAATTACCAGACAGATAAAAAACGAAAGACCTCAAAATTCGAACTCAGAATGAGGGTAACTAAAAAATAGGTTAGTTAGGTCGGCGGTTTGTTTCATATGTGTTTACATAATCTTCTAAATTGCCTGACTCTGTCAGGGACTGACACTTAGAATCTCTTTTTCAATAGGGAAATCTGACGTGAAAGATCTTGTTGGAATAATTGATTTTAACAATCGTGAATTTCAAGTCATATATTTCATCCCATAATACAGAATATCAAATACAAAATAATGTTTCTTCACGTTAACATGTTTGCCCAAAAGGCTGTTTCAGTGAGTAATGCATCCATGGTCATATTTCAAAAGCGTTTTGATTGGCTTTCGATCTCCTAAACAATAGAGATTAAAAAAATGACCATATTTTCCTTTTGGAGTACTAAAGAGTAAAACTACCAATAGTTTCGAGATTCTGCAGCAGCAAATTATGAGTCCATGTACGGCCATCGCATGACATCGCCTTATTATAATCCGCTTTTTGATTGCGTCCAACCCCGTCAAAATGCTTTATAAATACTCCCTTATATGTACCCATGTAAAACAAAACCTGGTATCTGCAGTTCATCAATATTTGAAATAAAATTGAATGAAAACGGTACATCATCAATGCATACTAAGATTAAATGTGTTGTATTTTCTAATAACTACATGTATATGGTTTGTTAAAATTCTGGATCCTCAGTTAAACTATCATGATTACTAAAATTGATATATTAAATCTACAGTCAAAGATAAATAATGATTTCTCTTATTCTTACTCGATTTATCCTTTTCCTCACCTGTTGATTATTTTTATTTAATCAATGTGTGGATCGTTTGATCTCGATTATGACGTCAAATTTTCTTGCTTTCATCTGAAATTCCTATTGTGACGTCATGAAAAAAGGCGACCATGTCTGATGACGTCACGTAGAAAAAACACATCTTTTTGAAGGTCGTTCGAAAAGAAGGATTAAGATTGTCTGCATTTCGTCTAAAAATCATTAGAGAAACAGATTCCACCGCCAAATCTCGTGCAATACGAAATTTATCCACTCTCGACAGTTAAATTTCAAATATTTAAAACGCTCGGGAAGCCTCGCGTTTTAAATTTGAAAATTTAACTGTCTCGAGAGGATAAATATCGTATCACACTAGATGCAGTGGTAGAATCTTTTTATATACAATTTGCAATTATAATGCTTTACAAAGGCTTTGTTTCTGGCTAATATACGTTATTAAATATGAAAGAAATAAATAAGATAGATGTATGAGTATCGGCAACCAGATTTTCCACAAAGTTGTCAAAAAAAAAAACTGGTTTGATATATCTATGCATTTCGGTAGACGAAAATAAATGTTGCAAAAAATTCTAACATTCAATCAACAGTAAACTAATATATCAATCATACCTTCACAGGAACACAGACCTCCTAAGCAGGAGCACCCTCGGCGGCGAAATGTTCACCATCAGTGTGACATCGATCTAGTGGTAGTTTAACTTACCAAATTAGATACAAGCGTACAATTAAGGGTCATCGGTGGCGCTCGAATCGAAATATTTGGAAAACATTTCAACATAAGATTTATAAGTGACGCTCGAATTGATACAATCTAAAGTTCAAATCAGTATCTAAGTTGAAAAATATGGAAGATAAAACCTTCTAAAAATTGTGTGATATCTGCCAAGATAAGGCCATATATGCCTGGAGGTAGAAAGTCTTAAGTGTTTTGTACAAATATAGAAGATACTATATCTTAAACGAGGCACATGGGAATTTTTCTAGTTCAATGAGGCAACAGATCAGTAGAATTTAGAAATTATTAAGACACTAAGGTTTCAACTCCCTCAGACAAAAATGACTGTAGCTTGATTTGGCTATTATGTTTAGGTTATTCTTGTCGTATAGCACTTTAACTGTTACGGTTCTTATACATCCTTGGCTTTCAGATATTCAGCTTTGACTATTCCTGCTGAAGTTTAATCCAGGAAAGCGCTTCGGACGTATACAATTTATGTTTAGATAATGCATATTTTAAGGTTTTTCTTGTCGTATAACACACCTAGGGGTGTCAGGATTGATCAAACTAAAGACCGACCGTAGGGAGTTCTTTCTTGTGGAACTCCTGATATCTCAAAGGGTTGTAATAAAACTCACTGACAAATCTAGATATAAACTATAGAAATCGCTGTCCAGTTACAATAAAAATATAACTGTTATTTCATGAAGAAGAAAAACAAATGAATTGTTACGGTGTAGGAAAAATACAAGTCACTTTGTAATTTATCATATTTATAAAAAGGGAATGCAAAGGGGGTTTTTTCTCCCTTGTTTCATGCCATTTTTACTGCGGATTATTTTTTTCAACAATTTTTAACGAACTATTCAGAAAGATTGTTTACTTTCGTTTGTCTGGTAACACAACTTTTTTTTCAATAATTGATTATCAGGATAAGATATTTTACCTCACTAATTGTGAAGTATGTGTCTGTTCTTTTATAGAAAAAAATGAGAATATTTGGTCATTTGATAGAGTAAAAGGTAATAATTCAAGAACTGGCACGAAGAGAGCACAAAATCGAAATGTATCACGAAAAATGGACAAATGTGAGATTTCCAATACAGTGGGAACTAACAAGATTGATACTTTTGTTTTTAAAAAAAATTCTTCACATGAAATGTTCCACAGGTCACTATGAGGCACATTTCATTAAAACTTTGTATCGTCCTGGTTGTTTCTGCACTAGTATGACCTGTCGTTCTTAAAGAAAATAACTCCATAGAGGTATATATTGTTTTCTTATTTTACGAAAACAACCGTAAATACAACAGCTAATACAGTCAACATAACTACATTATCTTAGTTTAAAGTGACCAGTTGCAATTCCCCATGTCAAATGTTTGTAAATAAAACTAATCATTTAACATTCTTAAAAGAATTATTTAGTAAAAAAAAACAATTTGTTCATATTACACAGACTTACAAATTAACAGAAAAAGTCTTTTAAATGAATATAAATAAGTTTTCAAATAACCAAACGAGACTTACCTTTGTTATTACTGCAATTTAAATACATTACAAAGAGAACAAACTGCGCCAATTTACATTTGTAAATGTGTTTTCTTTTGTACCTTAAATTACAAATGAGAACATAGTATTATTTTTCGAATCTTAAATACAGACATTTTAACTTATGATGAATGGGTACATATTATGTAACATTAAACATGTGTATATTTCTGTTATGGTTCAGACACAGGGCAACTTGATTAAAAAATCAACTTTGACAGAATTGAAGATCAAGGAAAGGTATACTTTACCAACTGAACTGAAAATAATGACATGTCTTACTCAATCATTAAAACACATATGTTACTTATATCTTTTGTACTAGAATTACATTTATTTCAAGGTCCCGAAAAGGTGACTTTCCGTCACACTTGTAACCAATTACAATGTTCATTACTGAAACCGTTACCTACTTTTAAATGAATATGAAAGTTTGCTAATTTTGATAAAAAAAAATAATGTTTAAGTGATGTGTAATGTCTTACTCAATCATTAAAACCAATCTGTTACTTCACTCTTTTGTAGTAAAATTACATTTTTTCGAGGTCCCAGTGAAAAAAATACCTGATGTTTAAGTAATGTGTGATGTCTTACTCAACCATTAAAATCAATCTGTTACTTCATAATTTTGTACTAAAATTACTTTTTTCTCGAGGTTCCAGTGAAAAAAATACCTGATGTTTAAGTGATGGGCAAGGAAACGGTAAATACAAAAATCAACATAGTACACTACCAAAAATTGTATCACACTTCTAATATACATTTCTACCCTCTTGCAAATCAGTACTGAACGGCAACATGATAAAATCGTAATGTTATACTTTTGATAAATTCAGTACTACTGAATTTTATACTTATATTTGTACAGTTACTTATTTCTAATTCTCAGTTGTGATATTTTCAGTAGTGTAACTGTACTGAATTTTTCAGTACTGTAACAGTACCGATTTTTTTCAGAACTGTAACAGTACCGATTTTTTCAGCACTGTAACAATACTGAGTTTTTCAGTATTGTAACAATACTGATTTTTGCAGTACTGAAACAGTATTGTCTTTTTAAGTGTTTTTCATGGACTGATTTATTCCCTATCGAATCAGTACTTGATTTTTGGTGCTCACCTTGTCTTTATCAATCATCTCCCTTCTGTTTAGGTAGGTGATCCTTTTATCAATTTACATAATTAAAATGGAAGTTTCTGTAGCCAGCATATATTCTTTAAGAGAAATCTATGGATTCTAAATTGGAAATTTGATGCTTTAAAGACATAATTATGAAAGTAAGTTTCTTCATCGATTGTGTGTGGTTTGTATACAAATGTTTACCAATTTGGAGAAAATTCAATCAGTGATATTTCTGATAATAACAGAGATAAATGCATTATTTTGGGGATTTATAGTTATAGTTCAATGAGTCTACAGTTGTATGCAAAACTTTACCAAAATCTGTGACATAGCCAATTTACTGTACAGTCCGTCTTTGTTAATTTCGTTTTTAAGGATGTTAGTTCACATTCAATCACTGTTTCCATAATTATTGTTTTGCATTTGTCATTTCGGGGTCTTTTATAGCTTACTGTGCGGTATGGGTTTTGCTCATTGTTGAAGGCCGTACGGTGACCTATAGTTGTTAACTTTTATGTTGTTTGGTCTCCGGTGGAAAGTTGTCTCATTGGCAATTATAACACATCTTTTTATTTTTATATGTATATTAAAAAGAACGCTTTGGTTATTTTTTTATACTATTTTCATAGATTGAGTATGGCTTGTATTTTAATTTGAATGCATTATATATATATATAAAATTCCTTAATACCACAAGATAAGCGTGACCTATCCTGATTGACTTATGTATATTCCTGACCATAATATACTTTTCAAATACTTACTTGTTTTAATATGTCAGACCTTCTAGTACCAAAGGATTCTCTTACTTTTAAAATGACTTAAACTACTCAATCTATTTTTGATGAATATATATTCATTTTAAAGTATGGGTTGTCTATACTTATAAGCAGTATCCTGGTTCTGGTACAATACCAGATGTACATTGATGTAAATAATATTTATTTTGTGCTATTTACGATACATGTACCACATTTATTCAGAAATTATAAAAATTATTCTCTCTCTTAAATAATACATGTAATATAACTTTGAGAAATGTTTCCAATGATTAAATAAATTAATTCCAACTTTAATGTGAAGAAGTGCTTCTAGTGATATTTTAGATTGGTATTAAGCAACCCTTATACTATTACTGCATAATCTGATACTATACTTTTTTTGTCTCTTTCAAAAAATGCAAGAAAATATTCTTCTTGATCAAATACCTACACCTTTACAGGGTATTTCATTATATATTAGTGTACCATATTTTTTTTTATCCAATAAGGTTTTGTGTGAATGGGTGTGAATATGAGTATTGCAGAGATTTCAAGTATATAGTCAAATCAAGTGTATGATTAAGTATATTTTTTATACTTTTATAACATGATGACTAAAATCAACAGTTTCGTGTGCCGTTCAAAACCGTACAAGTCAACTGTAATTCACCATGAATGCTGTGGACAATTGTAATGATTAAAACTTTAATTTAATTTTAATTTTAATATTTTTTTAACTTTTAACATATGTATAGGAACAACATTGTATTAATCCCGCACAATTCAGTCTTTACATTTTTAGTTCACAGGTGATATTTCTTGGTACATGTAGATTGGTTATTCCAGACGACACTTTACTTCTAATATGAGCTCATTATAAACATCCATCTTTTATGTTTTGGTACTTGTACGAAACTTGGGATTGCATGGTACATGAATGTTATTTTTTCTGATGAGTGCCATATTAATACATTCTTCTGTACAGGTCTTTAACTTTCACATCGAAGGTTCATATTTCAGCTCCAGTCTCCTATGCCGTTAATCATTCTGTGGAAAGAAAATGTCCAATTTGACTTTATGAAGGCTATTAAACTTTCTTATGTTTCCTTATTTCTGTGTTGTTTTAATATAAAAGAATGTTCAACTGTTAAAGGGAATTAAAATGTACTTATTACTTTATATACTAATACATGTACATATATATATAATCGAAGTTGAAATTTGTTCCTAAATAAAAAAAATTTAAATAAAATGATTATATCTTTCATCCCTAAAGTATTGGTGTTTGCCAGTGGCAAATATTTCATGCACGTGTAGCTTTTACAATCTGTTCATTTATGTGATATTCATGGTCAGGTTTGTGAAACTTTCGTCAATCCATTTATGTGGTCTGTATTGTCAGGTAGATCATTTTCCAAATTCCAATGAATAAATATGAATACTTGATCAATCGTTTGCTTAAATATATAGCAAGCATATTTTGTTTCGATTCTTCAGCTTGGAAAAAAAGAAACAAATACTCTCCATTGCTTGTAAATAAAAAAAAATTGAGAAATTAAAATATCCATCTTCATACAAAATGCATATTATTATAAAAATAAGAAGATGTGGTATTATTGCCAATGAGACAATTCTCCACCAGAGACCAAATGACATAGACGTTAACAATTATAGGCCCTGTACGTCCTTCAACAATGAGCAAACCCCATACCGCATAGTGAGCTAAAACAAATCCCGAAATAAAACAAATTCAAGCGAGAAAAATAACGGCCTGATTTATGTACAAAATATAAAAAACGAAAAACAAATATGATATACAGCAACAAACAACAGCCACTTAATAATAGGCAGCAGTCCTGACTTGGAACAGGTACATACAAAATGTGGCGGGGTTAAACATGTTTGTTGGCGCCAAACCCTCTCCCTTACCTGGGACAGTGGTAGACTAATGTCAAAGTTGTTCCAAAAATGTGGAAAAATAAAAAAAAACATAAGGATGTATTCTTCTGGTGTTTCAGTCTTGTTGAAATCTCGTTCGGGAATTATTTCCAAAACATGTGATACAAACGGAAAATGTCAATGAATTAAAAAGATATTACATGTTTAAATAAACTAAACTCTTAGAAAACTTGTGTGCGTACAATAAGTAGTTTTTGAGTAATAAAATTTCTAAATTTTAAAACCAATCCGGTCAGTGTCATCAGCCAAAATGTTGAGAAAATGGGTGCGGGGTACGAAGAAATAATTTTACAAAAAATATGTACATTCCTGGACCCATATCAATTTTTCTTTTCAAAATTCTTAGATATGTATTTTTTCAATCATTTATAAGAAAGAAGTTGAAATAGTATGCTTTTTGTTCTAAAAAGAAAGAGAAAAATTCGAAACATACAAAATTGACAGCATGGTCAATTTGACACGAAAAAGCAACAACATTTTATAAAACTTTCTAATATTAAAACAAACCTATAGTTTTTTAAGGTAAATTTATTCAGATTGATCCACTTCATCTTTAGTTAAAGTATGAAAAAAAGTTTAATAGTGAAACTGTGATTTTTTTCATGATAATAGCCTAAAAATGCGTAAAAATTGATTAAAATGGGAAAATCATTAAAAATGGGGTACTTTCAAACAGCTGTAGCAAAAAAAAGAAGTGCACCACCATATGATTTTTCTTCATCAATTACTTTCTTAGTCATATAAACCCAAAAAAGCAGGTTAAGAAGAAAAGGTTAATTCTAGAAATGTTTGGCTCCTCAGAGATATAGAAAGTTTAGTCTGTTTCACAAATAAACGAATTTGAAACAAAATGTCAATATAGTTACAATTAAGGTACCCGCACAAGTGGATTCGGGGAAGAAGAAGGGAAAGAAGTGGGAAGTGGGAAAAATTACTGTGTGAAAAAAAAAAGGATTTGGGAAATGAGCACCCCGTGTAACCCCAACCCCCCCCCCCCCCCCTCCCTTTTTCCAAACATAAGTTCATAAATATTCCCCATTTGCAAAAGTATTTAAACTGTTTCATAAAGTATATATATAATATGAACATTCAAAACAACCTAAATACTTACCATACATTTTTTCCAGAAGAAATTTAAAAAAAACAACAGTAAATATTTCTTTTCCTTTCTTAGTGCGCGTTCAAAAAAATAACGTAGGTAAACAATGGATGACGTGATGT